ATGTTAATTTTACTATTACCATATTATTTTTTATATTGTATCGATAGGAACCTTAAGATATTAAGAATATACATTATATCGAGTAGCGGTGCGACCGCGAAGTGATGCTGGCTATTAGCGGTGGCCCAGATACGGGCCAACAGTTTCTTGTTATATTTATTCATTAGATAGGAAATTATGAGTTTCCTGTAGCTAATTATATTTATGTTATTGAATCCTGTGGGTGGTATGGAACGACATCAGAAGGATATTTGGGGACTGGCAAGAGATTGTGATTAGTCGTTGGTCAACGACGTATAAATATTGACTGAATCTCAGTGTAGATGCATTTGTAACTCTATGAGGCCTTTGCAAGATGGATAATTATTAAGGATTTGTGATGTATTAAAGGATAGCGCCTAAGGAAACATACGAAAAGATTTTTATACTAGACTAGTTGATCTATTTACGGAGATTGTTTTTTTTTATACTTAGATATATTCTATTGTCTGATTTAATATACTTTTATATTTATATAACTGCATATATAATATGATTTATTAGTGTTGTTTGTTTTTAATCGATTCATCATATAGTAACATTGATTTCGTTTATATTGTGTTGACGGTTAAAAGTAATCGAGTTGAGATGTTAACATGTTTTATTATTTTATCGTTGGTAGGTGTTTAGTTTGTGGTACCGGGCCCGAGCCGTGCCGGCCGGCCGTCGCCCACTCGTGTGATCGGTGCTTGGGGTCAAAGACCTCTTTCAATCAATTAATATAAGTTAGGATGGAACGTTTGGAGGTTGCGCATTTAGTAACTAATATTGGCATTCTACGATTGGGACTAACCTAGCGTTTATGTATGTATTTTTCAATTAAGATTTAAGATTGTTACATTTTTAGCTAAACACTTTAGAGTGGTACGGTAACTGAAATGTGATAAAAAGGAATGGTGCTAGAACCAAGAGTGTTAACACGCTACGATTCGACTCCTATTATAATATTATTAATGATTAGTTACTTTGCATTAAATGTAAGGCATCTAGCATCCAGTTGAGGTCGCATCTATCTGGTCAACGGGTAAATAATGCATGGATCGTACACGCCTAGAGATTACAGTATCACTCGAGATTTTACCTTAATTTTTTCAGAGATCTTCAAGTTTTCTAGTACATAAATATATAATGAGTAATGATAAGACACCATTTACATAATATATGAATCTGATCCTTGCCTACCAAATATAAAACGTTCATTGATGGAGTTAGGAATTTATCACATCCGAATAGTGAATCCATGATCGTTTCCCATAACTTTAGTTGTGGCGTTAGTGCTGTTGTGCTGTTTAGTAGCTGTGAACATGCAATTCCACTTGTGCAATTTTTTGAAAATAGTCATAACTTATAGCTAGATTATATACAATTGACTATTGAATATAGGGGCCCACTCGATATGTATATGTAAGCACGAAGCTCATGCGTCCCTGTATATAATTATGAAGTCACCAAACATTTCTTCCATAAAGATTTTATATTTACTTTAAGGATATCAAAGATTTTTATACCTACTGTTCATAGTTATGTGGGCGCTTATTATTTGATAGCATTTCATACTCAGTGCAATATTACTAGTTATTTAATTACGTAACCAAACTAAATGATATTTTAAAAGTATATAATAAATATCATTCAAGAGAGTAACTACCTATTTGTATTTACATAAGTGACTACTCCTAATTTCTATTTCTACTTAGTGAATCGCAGTTTGGGTTACGGTGATGTACAGGTTTTATAGCTGGTAATATTATTAATTAGCTTGTTTACCTCTGCCAATCGTAATAGTTGTGTACTATTTAATAATTTATTGTCGCGCAAGTTAATGTCTATTGTTGAGATAGATCATAGCTATCCGTTACGGGTCCCATTGCCCAGCGAGTCGATGATCGTGCTGATCTCCCAATCTGCCCACGCGTTAAACGCTTCATCTAATCGTGAATGCATTTTTATATTACTATCACTCGAGACCAATTTTTAATATTGAATTTGCTATAGCAAATTGATTGATTAGTAACATAGAATATTATTTTAGATATTTTAGGTTAGGATACTATGATAGTGTCTGGCCAGAATATTTTGGAGAATCACACCGTTTGGCTCAGAAAATATCTACCTTTGATCTCTTTTCAGCTTTCAAAAAGTATGCAACTTAATAATTGTAATGGTGACCACATTCGGACTTAATGAAAGCTAACTTTATGCCATATGGAATTTTATACATAAGGTTAACGAATTACTAAATTTAGTCTTATGAAATTGAGGTCTTGTAGACCTAGTCACTTATTTGGCCAATCTATTGAATATTCCAATTTATTGTATATTAAAATTTACATTTGTATCACAAGGATGTGATCTTATCATTTGAATCAATGGAGTGCAGGATGAGCTCTAACGTTATTTTCAGGATAGCAATGGTCTAGTTATGTTTATTTTGTTTCTTCTTTATAACATTAGCAAATTTGTTATAGTGTCGTATATCACAATAGTGTAATACTAATAGGGAGGGGGTGTCAAATCGTGTACCTCACAGCTGACGAATGATCTTGTTATATATTATTACATGAAATTTTATGAACGATTTGTTGTTTATGAATATTTTGTTTGATGTCTTGGTTTGATGCCTCCGTTAAAAGTTTTTAATTTAAATAATTTTGTTTTATGCAAGCAGTTAATGCAATTTTTTTTTCACATTGTTTGATGTTATGTAATGCAATTTTAACATGTTGCAAACTCCTGCATTTATCTGTTGTATTTATTACTAATTTTTACATTAAATTGTGGTATGTTACAAATCCGTGTAGTTTCAGTTGTGCGTTTCACATGCTCCACACCCACCTGCAAAATATAAATTTAACTGTGCAAATTATTAAGGCTCGACCAGATTTACACTTTGTAAACGAGCAGCCTTGTCGTGAAGAGATGACAGCGTAGAGCCAGAGGGGCAAGCGGCGGCGGAGTGTCGCGCGTCGGGGTGTCGGGCGTGTCGGGGGCGCGCTGTAGCGGCTTGTTGTTGCAGAGCGCGCGGCGGGCGGCGCGGGCGCGGCGCCGTACTCGTACCACAGCATGTTCGTGGCCGTGGCCGACAGCGCGGCGCTGTGGCGCTGCAAGTCGTGCGGCAAGGAGGTGTCCAACCGGTGGCACCACTTCCACTCGCACACGGCGCAGCGCTCGCCGTGCCCGTACTGCCCGGCCACGTACAGCCGCATCGACACGCTGCGCTCGCACCTGCGCCACAAGCACGCCGCGCTGCTGCTCAAGCACTAGGCGCGCCGCCCGGCGACGCCACACAGACGCCCCCCGACCCCTGCGACGCTCCTACCATCTGAGCTCGATATCTTTGTTTCTCGTTTAATGTGACTAGATTTTAATTACATTGACGTGCTTCGTGCATGATTTGGAAGGTAATTATTATATTGAATGTGTTACGACGCACGTTTTCGTGCGTTAAATTTAAATTGTTCTGTATCGGTAAGGTATTGAATTTTGTTACAACTTATTTAACTAACAGGGTAAAATTAAACAGTAAGATACCGGAAAGGCTCTTATTGCTATCAAAAGTTTCAGGCCCAGTTTAGTTAGTCAAGGGATATTACGTTCTTGAAACTTAAAACATAATAATTGAAGCACTTATGATTTTATTCTTGAGTTTCGTACACAATCAAGCAAATGCTATTTTGAATAAAACACCCTTTTTAACGATTTGTCGTAGTAGATAAATTCCACACCTTCAATGTAACAACATTCGTGTTTATAGCGCGTAGGTAAGTGTATAAGGTGAAACATATTTATTTGCAAGTAACTATACATAATGGAATGAAGACTGAAAGGTAACAGCTTGTGATTGATCTTAAGATGGAGACGGTAAGGTCTGAGTGTAAATAATTTGTAAATTGGTAAATATAATCGTCAAAATTTTAGGTAGCAAAATATCTTGGAACTTAATGCGTGTTCAAAATTGAAATTAACATTAAAACACGATCTATACTTAGTAGTCCTATGTATTATAAATTATATTTTTGTATAAATATTGTCTGCGTTTATCGCATAACATTAATTAAGGGTATTAGATGTTTACTCTCGACTTGCAGACATATAGCAAGAATAATCGACATTCCATAATATCTAGGTGAACGAACGATGCGATAATATTAAAATAATCGAATTGGAACGCATTTGATAACTTAATCAGATTTTCTGACTTTTGGAATCTACTGATGATATTAATTATTATCTTATATTGATATAGTACTAAATTGCTTAACCCTTTAAAATATAATGATGTAAGTAGGTAGTCTCCACGCTGAATGTTGTGACCTATGGCTCATTTGTTAGAAGAAAACTATCCGATGATTTCTGCAATCGGAAAGCTATTGTAAATTATTTCTCTTTATAGTTAAGTGTCGTACATTGAGATATGTGAATTTAACACGTCGTTTACTTGTGTAAGTAAATATCTAGCTTTTAACGGTCCAATATATATTAGCATTCGTAATGTGTGTCATATTGTTGTTCGTACAGAATGATATTTCATGGAATCTCATCTTTCAGTAATTAATTCATTTTATCAGTATTATATGTAACTAATATTCATAGATAGTCATTAATTGATGTCATAAGTCCCAATCTAAGAATGTAGGTTAGTTATTGTAGCATTGTGAAGTCATCTGTTATAAGTGCTTGACTAGTCACACCCACTATTCTAGTTAATAATTAATTTATTGTTGAAATGTGTTGTTCCTTTTTATTATTGTTTTATTATTATAGTTTTAAATTTGGCTCGTTCTGATTGTGCAATTTTTTGCCGCTGCCGTAACCAATATAATGTTTTAGGGTTTTACAAGTAAAGTATTTTTGAACTTTACTTGTATGATTATAAAAATATTCACTTATTTAATGCTCTCAATAAAATACATCACTTCAAAATGGTGTTTCTTTTAGTCAAGTGTAAAAATACAACGACACTCGGTAAATAAAATAATTTTATTGCACAGTTCAATGATTATCATGTTAATGGCAACACATACAATAGGTGTGATTTATTTACACATTGCACAAATATCACTATGAGTATTCAACTATAAATACTTGCATTACCTACGATTAAATTACCTTACCTTAAGTACACAAACTTACCTAATTACATTCAAACTGAATTAAACATGGCAACATATGGCAAGTTTAATTCTCTAAAAACTAATCATAATTTATGATAGAAGCATACATTGAAAATGGCAAAACAACATACAAAATAATCCGTATTCACTTATTACTCGCAGTACAATCAGTCCTAACTTACACTGGCAAAGAGACAGTAACTCAGAGTTAGCTTGAATTCCATTTCCTTATCACAGTTATGGTTTTACTTCACTCCCTTACAGAAGTCATACATTTTAGGAGATTTCCTTTACAATTTTACTTGCATCTTTGTATTTTTAGGCAATATCTCTTACCGACTACAACAAATTCTTGCGTTATAAAATGCGAGATTTCGTCCGCAATATTACATTACTCTATTGATTCCCTACAGAATATTTTTATACAAAGATCTAGAGACGTCCCTCTCACTGCGCCGCTAGTCATTAGATTTGAGGTCAATATCGAAACACTGACTTATATATCGGAGGGACTATAACTATTTACTTATAATAAATTAGTGAAGGTAGAACTACTCTTGTAGCCTTTCGACTTTCCCACTCTCTCCGGGCGAGTCTACAATGACACTAGTTTCGCTAACTGGACTGTCTCCTTTGCCGACTTCAGTGTCCTCTTTCTCACTTGAATCTTCCTTCTCAGTAGAATTTTCATCAGAGTCATCAGATTCTTCATCTGAATCACTTTTTTCAGCAACACTCTGCTTGTTCTTGTTCTTTTTGAATTCTTCCTCCATTTCTTTGAATTTAAGGGTCAAGTATCTGAAATTACGAATACGTATCACATATTTAGTTCCATACTAAAAACAAGCTAAAGATAAATAAAGGGTATCATCTAAAACGAATACAAAACATGACACAAACGTGACATTACTTCACTGAAACCAAATCAATTTTTTTTTTATTAGGTTGGCTACTGATGTGGAATGAGTAAGTATAGTTAACTGCTAACCCCACATATCTGGTTAAGTAAGTAGGTAAGTGTGTTTCAGTTTTACAGGTTTCCAACAGGTCTCTGATTTTGACTAACAGATGGTAGGTTAGGTACCTAAGTTCAGAAAAATTTAAAATCTGGTAAACTATGATTAGTCTAGTCTAAAGATTGAGATTACCTACCGGCTATAAATATTTAGCCAAAATTAAATAATATAACAGGTAATACCTGTTTATCTGTCCTCTGGGATTATTATAACAATAGCTGATAAAATAAGTTCTCTAGGTTGTACTTACTTATCAACCAGTGGTCCACTGTAATCCTCAGGGAACTTGGGCGAATGTGGCAAGATGTACTTGTATAGACTCTCGTTCAATACGTATAGCTGAGTAGTGGTAGCACAACGCACATTGAACCACCAGTCGCAGGTCAGTCCTGCCTGGGAGAATATTGTCCCGTTCGGGCATAAGAACGACGCCTGTCCTCCATTCAGGTCACAGTAATGCCACACCTGTCACAAAAAAATAATTAAGTTTTACTAATCAGACAGATCACTTAACACATTTGAAAACTGCCCGTTTGTCGAGTAGCCGCAACTGCAACTGCCGAAGCAAAGGGTCTCAGGTTCGATTCCCCAGTAGAAAGTGGGTGTTATAACATTTATGTGCACCTCCGCCTATCCTTTCGGGGATAAGTTAAAGCATGGTGTGAAGAATTCCCCGAGCGTAAAGTTTATCTCGAAAAACGATTCGAAATCGAGTCTTCACGCTCGTGGTTGCTGAACCAGTCTTTCTTAGGTAGGTAACGTCCCGTAATGTGCTACATTTTGGTGCCTACCATATAGCCAGTGACCATTTTGGGAGACATCCTCTAGCCATGCAATTACCACAAATGCAATATGCATAGACAGACGCCGACAGCTGGCCGACCTACTTTCCCTTTGTAACACCGTTTTTTTGTACCTAAACATTCTTGGATATTGCAAGTTACCTGACAACGTGTCTCAGGATCTGCAAAGAAGCCTTTGTACCGCTGCGTCTTGCAGTCGAAGCTGGTGGTAGGGATCGTGGTGAGTATAGGGTAGTCGATGCCCGGCCGTCCTGGAGTGCCACCTTCTTCGTCGGATGCCTGCTGCAAGGGGAAATGTTGGCTGCTTCCAACACCAGGTGATAACTCTGGAAATATTTTAATCATTTCTTTAATAAGCATGGTAAGTAGGTACTACATAATGTCTCTGTCCGTGTTCAGTGTCACCTGTGTCACATACCATACATGGTATTATGTGTGTAACCTTTACGTACCTACTGGTTAAGATTTGTTGAAAATGATAAGGAATACCTACTTATTAGGTAGTAAAAATATATTACCGTAGTAATGTGGGCACTACATTAAGTTATATGTTAAAGTTGTTATATTCATAACACTTCATATGGTATAACATTCAAGTTAATCTTATTTACCATCAAGTTGTTGGGAAGGACTATTCACGGGCGCAAGGTATGGTTCTTCGGGGAATTCTGCATCCGGTAATGTTGGCTGCTCCGGTTCTGGGTCCGGTTGAGCATCAATACTTGGTTTTGATACTTTAACTAGTTCTGACGCCACAAATGGTTTGGGGGTGCTTAGAACTGGGACACCTCCATTGATTGATTGCGGTACAGCCTTCAAAACATTTAACACTTGTAGTAAAGTCCTAATGGACGCACTGACATTTTCTTTTGTAATAGGCTTTGGAATAGACTTATTCAGCTGAAGCGAGTTCAACAGAGACGCCAGTGGTGCTGTGTTAGACGTTACTGTTGGAGGTTTATACGTTGGGGCCTGGTCAACCACATATTGATAGTAATGAGGCTTTATTTCCTCATAGTTTCCACTTTGTGGAGACTGTAAATGTGTTTCGTACTTCTGATTTTCAAAATCAAGCTCAACATCAGGTACACTAGTAGTGTATGTCGCAGGTTCCTTGGAATATTGGGGTGAGTTAACTATTGGTTTAAACCCACTTTGCACAATAGGTTGAGCCAGCAGGAGTTGTGGACGTTGTTTCTCATAATAACTTTCTGAAACAATTGACGGTTGCTTCCTGATTGGTGGTTGTTGAACGTCAATGTTGTCGTAAACATAGTGCGGACGAGCCGGTCTTGGTTTCACATAAACATGCTCTTTAGGTATTAACACCGATACTGGTACTGGTTTTTTTGTTATGTCATAAATGTTCTCGTTTTCGGGCACTTTAACGGGAGGAGTTTGCTCATAAGGAACCAATTTATATTTCGGTTTATCCGACAAATAATACCGTATGTTGGGCGAGTCCTCATTGTATAAATTCAAATAAGGCTTTCTGGTTGTTGGTATAAACGCAATGCCTTGGGGTTTTGGTACTTGCTTATGAACCAATCTGACGTTTTCGTATTCATTTCTCAAGACTCCGTTATTAAATTCCGACACTAAGGGATTGTAATTTGGAGATACTTTGTTTGGAGTGTGATAAACTGGTACACCTCCTTTGTAATAGACTTTTGTTGGATTTGCGGATGCGATGTTATGTTGAGTTAATCTGTTTCCTTGATATCTAGGAATGTTTCTATTCGAATAAACGATTTTCTTGGGCTCTCGATTATTGGCGTGATTTATGCCGCTAGCCTCGAGTATTTGTGCTTTTTCTACTTCAACTTCCTTTACGTTATCCGTCACGGGTGCCGCCAAGTCGTTGGCATAGTAGAATGTCATATAAGGTATTAATCTCCTGTATCTTTCGTTGATCGATAACTTTGTAGAGTTACTATTAGTTTGGGTGGTTTGGGGTTTTCGCTTCTTTACACGATTTGTTCTGATAGTCACTTCTTCTATTTTTGATTCCATTGGTATGAAGTCCTGCTGCACATCCATCGACATTCCTCCAACCATTTTAATTTCGGGACTGTTTCCATTTGGTGTGATTGTGATTGATGCGACAAACGCAGGTATAACTGAAACAATGAAAACATGTTTATTATTCCCATCACAACGTGCTCATTAAAATAGTTACACTTGTCACATTGGTCGGTTCTAGGACTGTTTAAACAATTTCCCAAGCGCAAAAAGACAATGCCTACTTCGAGGTCAAAAAGGCTTTTCAACTTGACATTGTACCGAATATAACCAGTGTTTAGGTCCGCATCACAACATTTTAAAAACTGCATAGAAATTCGGATAGTGCTAATACCTAACACTGAATTGGTCGATTCCGATCAAAGCAAGGCTAAGCAACATTCACGGCTCATTTTATTTTCAACTTTCTTATTTATATTTGATGTATAGGTAGATCATAAATTCTTCTTGCATAAGAAGCCTAGTCAGAGTAGTCAGACCCAATTTTTTATTTGTAAACAGACACCTACTTAGTCGTAATAAAAAGAAATACTTGCCGCGCCCATCTTATCAGTTGCATAGCGAAATTTCATCAAGACTCATCATATTTGTTATGAAACAATCATCTAATTGCGTCTGTCCGTCATCATATTAATCGGTATCAAATTGACCCATTTATTAGCAACGAGGCCTCTGTTAAGTAACTGCCAATAGACTTATTATAATGAATCGAAACTTTACTTTCACTGACCAGAATCCTGTTGCGTTGGTAAGTACTCAATAAATCTATGGGTCTAACCTAGCTCCGTACTCACAAATACCAGCTGTGCTGTGATGAAATTTGCTCCAGTTCTAACAATAGTGTTTTAGAAGATAGATACATAAGTACCTATATATACCTATATATATTTAACTTCATACATGATAATAGTAGTCTAGTCGGTAGAGTAGATATAATTTCGGTTCTTTTTAGTCCCTTAGATACTTACTTAACTCCCGCCCTACCCTGATTAGGTTGGTAACTTATATACCGTCCTTCGTGTTTTTGTATTGCTATTCATAATTGGATAATTTTCTACGGTTGTTGGGTGCCTATGATGCTTGTTTTTTGGTAACGACAATATTTTTTACCATCAAGTGATTAAGAATCTCTCATCCGTTAAGTTATAATTAAGTGTAAAGGAATAGCTAAGTAGCCTGCTTCGTAATATTCTCTCGAACATCAGTTAAAAGTCGTACTAATTACTTATCTCATCCATCAGTACTTCATTCATATTTCCAATTGCGCAATAAGTTGTAGTCTCCATGATAAATATTCGCTTTCACACGCACTTCTATAATTTATATCGAAGAACATAATACTTGATGATACAATCTTCTTTTAATTAATTGCTATGATTACGCTACACGTACCGACGTAATCAATAGCAATGTTTATGGGCTATTAAATCACAGTCGGCCATCTGATTCCATCAGTAGGAACCAATCGAACCCGACAGATGAATTGATTTGATGGAGAGCCGAAGCCGCTTACAACGACGGTAATCGAGAAACGTGACTACAGAAATCATTCTCAGTCACCGGGACAATTGAAGGCAATTAATTTAATATCTTCACGGTCCATTTTTCCGTGTAAAATAGTTACATAGCAACTTACGGTTTGTAGAATTCAGTGGCTATTAAGAACAGAGTGAGATAAATAGGTTTATTGACCGACCAGAATTAGGTAGGTAGGCTGGTGCCTATGCTGATAAGACATTAATTCTAAGCAATCATTAATTAAAGCATTTTAAAAATCTAGACTTTGCCTAGTAGAGATAGTGCCTAGTTTATAGGAAGACGTGTGTATGTAATGTACCTAACTAATTGTAATAATTAACCAACACAACTTTAGTTACTGTAGTCTTGCAATAAACGTCTTTGAAATACTTTGTCTAGTTGCGTTATTGTTAGTGAACTTTACAACCACTCATAAAATTGTCGTAAACGTTATAAAAGTGGTTAAATATAAAGTCACAACAAAGGTGCCGTGGTTTGTAGTCACACTATTCCTACATATTTATTAGACCTACATCAGATTGTGTGCAAAGCAACAACGAAATAAATTGTAGGTAAGCATTTTAGAAAGGCAGGATCGTTCGTGTGTCGAATACGGGTAGAGCCTTGTGAAGTGACTGGCTCTGCACGCGGAGATCCGTATCCTGACTGCAACTCACTAAAGATACCGTTAATTAAGCTGATTTATTCAACAAATAATTTTAATTAGTATACTCTGCGGTTTCTAATAATTTCTCTTAGATACCCGTCCTGTCCACTAATCGTTTTTAATTTAAACTTTGAGTAAGGTGGAGAATCCTAAGTAAAGGTACCTACTTATAAAACTTATATAAATATTTAATTAAAACTACCTCGATGAGAATTGATAAGAGGTCAAACAATGAAAGTCCGATGAGGACATCTTAGAGTTAGAAAACATGCGTTTTTTATAGAATTGTGTGTGTCTAAGCTGTGAATTAGTAATTAGTTAGACCTTACAAGGTAAACCGTAATGTATGTAGCTGTATTTGACTCTAGTAACTAACGCCTGTATCTTTAAGCGAGTTTTCCATAAAGCTGTTGCTATTAAGTTTCCATTTGGTAGTTTTAGCAAACAGAGTGAATACCTTGACCTGTAAAGTCTTTCTGGCTTTATGATCATTGATAAATAGGTAAGGAAATCTCATAGAACTACTATTGAACTTGTGACCTACGTACCACCACCAACATTCAAGTGCACGAAAATGACCTTTTGCTACGTGCATTCATGCAGTCGTTTACTCCCCATGAATATCCTTAAATATCTTTAGAAGTAGGTACCTCATGATTTAATTCGGTAGGTACTGTTGAGTTATTAATTGGATGTAGAATTGTAGATGAATAGCTTGCCATGGTGATTATGGTAGGTGAATAGGTACGCTCGATATTTTTCCGTAAGTAGCTCCCAGCACGTAATGTAGGTCATCCTTGGCGTACAAATGTTTAGCTTCTATCAAAGACGTTATCATAAATGTCATCTTAAATATACCCAGGGAAACATCCAGGGGCTATTTGTAACGTAACAATAACAGAATTCTGAGTACCTACAATGAATAAAGTTTCATAAAATAGGCTCTGTAAAACACCAAAATATTAATTTCGCCATTTGATAGTAGCATTAATTTAATACCCGAACAGGATATTGATTTACATACTTATATATATATATATAGTTACAGTAGGTATATAGGACTATCAATCTCCGACAGCCTGTCAATATCGCTTTAGATTTCATGAACGTGAGATCAAATGACCAGATCTATTATAATAAACTCGATAATCAAATCTGCTTAGTCATTACCTACTACACGCGTAATGCACAAAAGTGAGTGTAATTTTTGTGTCGTGAATGGCTAAAGGGCAATCTGGTTAGTCAGTATCCGCGAAGGTCATTTTTATTATTATTATTTAAAAATAATTTACACGATCTTTTACTTCCTATATCTGCTTACTATTAATCGATAAATCAGCACAATTTACTTTTATATTTTATAAGTTGAAATCCATTTACAAGGACAAAATTTTTGATCTTAAGGACTGACTATTTTAAGTAGGTAATTGTTTCGAAACATGTTAAATAGCATATACTACTATACTAGTGGTAGATGATACAGTTTTTGGTATCTAACAAAAAGGTCCGTACCGTATTCGTATCCGTACGGCCAATTTAGAAATGTTTCAAAATAACCCCCCATTTACTTAAAGAACGATAGCAATATATTCGCATACTAGATGATTCTCAAGTTTGTCCGTAGATTACAACTAAGTATATCAAGGTTGCATCAATCGTGATCATTGATTCATTTGTCAAATAATTCACACTGTAATGGCCGTTCTTTGTTACAATCAGTCACGATTGTGTGGCTCTACAGAAAATCTTTTTGCTTCATTAATAGTTTGTGTGTGAATTTACTTTGTTTTGAGTTTTAATGGTGTTGATGGTTATGGCCTACAGACAATAAGTATGAAACTTTATAGGTACGTTTAATTGAACACATGTGTTGCATTGCTGTGTTTTTGTTGAAATAAGTCTATCACATCAACAACAGCCCATCAAAGTTTACTTCTGAACTATAATAGACCTTATCTACGTAAGAGGGTTGCTCGTAACCAACGTAACCTTTTTGCTTAGGTAGCAGGTGATTTGGAGATCACAAATTAAAAGGTTCAGATTTATTAAAAAAAGTCTAAGTAAGAAACACATATTGTGACAATAATTAGACATGTTATATTTAGTATTAGCGCTGTTCACTGCAATTTTCTCATTACAAAGTGGACACAAAAATATGACAAACGTCCAGCATCATATAATCATAACAGGAACAAATAATTATATAACATTAAACAGAACGTACAAGGTTTCTATTGTGTATTACAATATAATCATATCGCGTGGAACCGTCGCCTCATAGTCTTATTATTGTGTAAAAAATGTCAGTAGTAGATAGCAGCCCTCGGTCACGCTGTGCAAGCGCACGCACGACAGACCGTGCACAATGCGCACGTCTCCAAGATTTTAAAGTTAAACTCTTCGGAGACATCAAGATAACTAACGGTATCTCCTACAGTATAGCATCTATACAATGTTTACTATTGTAAAGGATCTTAGGTGCCCTGTCCCTAGAACATTTAGCAAGCGTCGCATGAACACGTAGCCTCAATTTTTAACTAATGTCAAACACGATGAAATTCTAAATTACTTTGGTAACCTGTTATTAGCTGCAATGGACTTAAAGCATAAGTAAATTAGACATGTTGACATAATAAAGCTAAAAATAAAGTTGATTATGCCAATCTCTTGAACTCAACCTTTCTAGTACAAAAATGTATCTACCGTATTGCAAAAATAAATAAGTATATTGTCTATTGGTAATACAGATGTAGACGACGGTTTAATAATTATGTATTTCGGTTTTAACCTGACCTGACATTGTTAGATAATAATTCGACATCACTGTTTCCTTTATCTGCTAAGAACGCACCTTTACAATTCAAATTAGGGTCTATTTAATCTGTCCTACCACCTTCTGTCATATCAATCTAC